AACTTAGGGTGTCCACCCCCCGCCCTCCTAGTGACACCACTGTTCTCCTACCTTCTCCTCCTCTGGAGAACTCAGGTGGCTGTCAGAGTGAGCTGGAGGAGGCCATGGTTGCCATAGAGGCAGCAACTAGTACTGATAGATAAAGATATTCTAGACTTTGAATTTAGTAACCCTAGCTAATGGTCTCTTTAAAACCCAAAATGACCAAACTGAGGCCATTGTACATTGGACGTATCATGAGATGACATGACTAACTGGGAAAGACAACAATGCTTGGCAAAGTGTAAGACAGTAGAAAAAGAGGAATACTTTCTTACAGGTGGATTTACTTGATAAAGGAATAATAATAATAATAATAATAATAATAATAATAATAATATTTATTTAATACGCCGCCTATTGAAAAACCAATCCAGGCGACTTGATAAAGGAAGCCATAGCCCTAAGTCTGCAAGAGTTGCCATAAATCAAAGCTGACTTGATGAGAATTGAGAAACCACAACAAGCTAATGACCATTGCTAAATCTTGCATATACATTTTCATACAACAAACAACCTAATGATCAAAATTACTGTGTAAGAGCCTAAACTGAAGAATGAAGATCACATCCATTTCTTTTTATCTTTGTTTTGACAGTAAAACATGTGATGGTTGCTACAGTCCTGGTTAGACATTGAGAACCATTACTTTGAATTTATTCCCATTTCAAATGGATGAGTGTATGTTTGGGCCATACTGAAGACCATGTTAGTTCTATTAACAAAGAAAAGATTATTGGATGAAGGCATGATTCAAACAATATTGGGCCTTTGCAAACTGCCAGAAATAGTGCACATTAAATTGAGGCACTGCCCTGGCTCAGTGCTAGGGAATCATGGGAACTGTAATTTATTGTGGCACCAGAGCTCTCTGACAGAGAAGGCTCAATGTGTCAGAAAAAAATACAACTCCCATGACTCCCTAGCACTGAGCCAGGGCAGTGCCTCAATTTAATGTGCACTATTTCTGGCAGTCTGCAAAGGCAAAATGAGAAACCCACACATATGATGCAGAGCAGAATATACCTTTAATCATTATGTTGCTAACATTTTACAAGGCCTTATCAATTAACCACTGACATTTAACAAGCACTTTAGGTCAGAATAATATCCTTGCAGAAGAAAAATCTTCACCTTGTATTTTATTAGAAAAGCTACAGACATAATTGGTTACAGGACATGTAACAATCTAATTGTGAGACTTGTATATGGTGCCCTTCAAGAATTGGAGAAACTTCACGTTTAGAAATCTGTTACAGACATCATTTTCTTTTTCTCCAGAGCTGTTAACATTACACACCTCATCTCTCTTTGTATATGTTTTGGACCTATTAAGCCTAACTCCACTTAGCATTGACATGAAACTTATTCTCATAAATATTAATCAACCTGGCTATATGCTAGCTTCTGAAGTATTCTTCTAGGTTATATTCTTTTCCCTGGAGATGTACAAGCTGAAAGGTCTGGATACACAGATAGATATTTCACCTGTTCTTCCAGTGGAAGGGCATTGCCCTGGAAGGGAGAGAAAAATAGTGATGACTACTCAGCAGATGGGTCTGCTGGGAATGATTTGGCATCCTGGACCATGGTTTCATGTACTCTTAGGGCCTTTGCAGACTGCCAGAAATAATGCAACTTGAGTTCACTTTAACTGCCCTGGCTCAGTGCTAGGAAATCATGGGAACTGTAGTTTATTGTGGCACCAGAGCTCTCTCACAGAGAAGGCTCAATGTCTCAGAAAAAAACTACAGTTCCCATGATTTCCTAGCACAGAGCCAGGATTGTTAAAATGGCCTCAAGCTGGATTATTTCTGGCAGTCTGCAAAGGCCCTAAATGGACCACAGTCTGAACATGAGTAAGCAATGTGATGCAGCAGCTATGATTTTTGGTTCACTAAATGTGTCACCTTATCCATTGCATAATAATAATAATATATATATTCAGTTTCCATTCTTGTAGCCTTGGAATTTCCATGTTTTTTCCCAATATTTTGCGAACAGTGTTCTCACCACTATAATAAAATAAAACATAAGTTTTCCGTATTTTCTTTCCACTTCTTCATTCTCTATCAAATTTAACAAATAAATCTTAGGATCTCCATACTCTCTTATGATAAACATTTTCTCATCTGTTCATGAATCATATTCCAATATTTCTTAGCTATCTCAGAGTTCCACCAACAGTGGTAATAAACTATCTCTTTCTCACACTTCCAACAAACATTCATAATATTCTTATTTATCTTAGATAATATGGGGTTAAATACCATCTGTATTGATTCTTATATAGATTTTCTTTTATATCTTTTTTATTTATTTATTACAAATAAATCATATGTTTAAAACATAGATGTACACAGCACTAACACATCATACATAATACTAGCACAGCAAAACATATTTACATACATTCCCTTGTCCAAACCTAAACATAATCTTGTCTATAGGTTAACCCATTTTTAATCCACGATAGAACATCTTTATATAATTCTCTTTATAATCTTGGCATAATGTGAATTTGTTGGTATCTAGCCATGATTTTTCCCATGTCTCTAGTTCTATGGTTTTCCCAACATCCTGTGCCCGGAAATACCATAATTTGCTGTGTATTTAATTCTCTTGGCCCAATTTTTTCCCATTGCTCCAAACTTATATTTTGCTTAATGTCTTTTGCCCATTTTATCATAAATTCTTTGATTATTTCATCTCCTGATTCAAGCTTAAGTAACAGTTTATATAATTTTCAGATTTGTTGCTCATTCCCTTCTTTCACAGTTTTTCCAATTCTAAATCAATCAGATCTATACCCCATAATTTCATATCTATTTGAAATTTTTCTTTTAGTAGGTGATATAAAAACTGATTACAGTTGTATCCTTCTGTTATTCTTCTTGTGTTTTCAATTCCCTCTTATCTTGAACTACTTTTGTGATTTCTGCATATATGACCCATCTTTGATTATGAATCACTTCTCTTCTAAATGAAGCCTCATTGATTGAAACCCATAAGGGAATTTTTACACAACATTTTGTTTTAACTTTCAATCATATACAAAGTACAGTATTTCTTATGAAATTATTATTGAATTTGGCATCAGCAGCATTTTGCATCTGATAGTACCCGGCTGCATCCTGTAATTGTCTTGAAACCAGCAGGGTAAATAAGTTTATTTTGTTAAGCTCCTAATACATGAAGCAATGGAGTCAAGCTACAGGAAAAGAGATTCCATCTAAACATTAGGAAGAATTTCCAGACAGTAAGAGTGGTGGCATCACTATCTAATGGTGTCACCTGGTGTGGGAAGGATGGGCATGTGCCCCTCCTGCTCCCTCATCCCCAGGCTTTCTTCCCTGGGAGGAGCTCCCACATGCTGTGTGTGTGTGTGTATACAACCAAAAAAGGCAGAGCCAGTACTTGGCACTGCACATGCTGGAAATGGTAGTCTTAAATGAGGCTTTAGCCTGAAGAGGGGATGGGCAGGAGGACTACTAGTCCCAGAGGGATTGATGGTGTTATCTTGGGTAGCTTTCATGGAGCCTGGATTCTTAACCACACGTGAGAATGGTGAAAAGGGAAGAAGGTCTGAGTCAAAAAGAGATGCCATTTCTAGCTAGTAACTAGATCATCTGGGCACTTATTAGGCAAAAACCAGGGGTGGCCATGTGGGAAAACCTCTAATGATAATACAACTAAAGAGGAAGGTCCCCACCAAGCTTGAAATGAGGATGCGGAGCAGAGATGAGTATCTTGCATAAATAATAATAATTATTATTGTATAATACTTACTCAGTTGCCCACTCAAATGGAGTAAATCTTCATCCTGTCTTTTCCATCTATATCTATATCTATATCTATATCTATATCTATATCTATATCTATATCTATATCTATATCTATATCTATATCTATCTATATCTATATGTTTTGTAGGTTCCTATGTATTAGGAATGTGTGTCTCTCTTGCTCCCCATACCAATGCTTTTTTTCCTGGGGTGGAAGCCTGGAGATGGAGCATCTGGCAAGAGTGTGCATGTGCCCCTCCTGCACGGAAAGGGGAGGAAGGCCCAACATGGTATCACCTCTCTTCTGGGGGTCACCTGGTGTGGTCTGTCTCCTCCACACACCCACATTGATGACACTGGGTAAGAGCTGCTTGACAGTGGACCACACTAACTTAGAGAATAGTGGAGTCGCCTTCTTTGGAGGTTCTTTTTAACAGATGGCCATCTGTCTGGAGTGGTTTGATTGTGTATTCTTGCATGGCAGGGGGTTGGACTGGATGCTCCTGTGTTCTCGTTCAGCTCTATGATTCTATAATTGTTTGTGGCTCTTCAAGTCACTTTCGGACTTCAGATGAAATTAAATTGGGTTTTCTTGGCAAAATGTGTTCAGAGGGAATTTGCATTTGCCTTCCTCTGAGGCTGAGAGTGTGTGCTTACTTATTAATTTCTATGCAACCTTTCTCCCAAAAATGGAACCAAGGTGGCTTACAATATAGAAACACAATAAAATAATTTTTTTTAAGACAATTAGAATGACTTGTCTAAGGTTATCTAGTAGGGTTGCATGGCCAAACAGGGATTTAAACTCTGATCTCCTGGAGTCCTAGTCCAGCACTCAAACCACTACACTATGCTGCCTCTCACTATGTCATGTCATTACTGTTGTTGTTGTTAAGTACCTTCACGTTGGTCTCAACCCATGGTGACCCTATGGATGAGACATCTCCAGCCCCCACCCCCCCATCCTCTACTGCTCTGCCCAGCTCCTGCAAATTCATATTTGTGGTCTTTCTAAAAGTCCATCCATCTAGCATGTGGCCTTCCTCTCTTTCTACTTCCC